ATTTGAGGATTACGTTTCTCATCGTGTAAAATCTGATTAAGTTGTTCGTCTGTTTGATAAATAGTTTCGATTATTGAAAACATGTTATGCTTATGTTTATCTTCATGAGTAATAACTCGTTGCATAAGTAGATTCGTAACGGTATCAAAATGAAGTGATGTGTGGAGTAATGGATGTTTGTTAACAGTGAGCTGTAGAGCATGACGAAGTTGTTTAATCGATAAATTATGACCTGGTTGGACACGATAAACAAAAGGCATATTATAGATTGCTATTTGAGGTTTGTCTGGATCGAACCGATTCCGTTCGGCAAGCCATATACGAGCTTGTGCAAATGATGTTGGTGCTATATGGAAGAGAAAGCAATTACATATGATTAGTGATATTGCTTGTAAAATGTATTTTGTGTGAGTTTTAATCACAAGTAACGCCGATCCGATGGATTCGCTGACCCGTTTCTGGAAGAAAATTTCCTATAATTATCATTAAAAATAATCTTGATTTTGAATACATGTCAATAAAGGGAACCTGTGTAGGTTCTACTCGTCATAAAATCTTGATCGAACATGGTTCATTTTTAATTTGAGGAATAAACGATCAGTCGCTGCCGTATATCTCATCTTTTGAAAAACTGACCTAATTCAAAGAGATTAAGGAGTTGTACTGCTGCATATTCGAGAATTCTTACACATTCAAAATAATCTGAGCAAAGTAACCTTAATTTTCCCGAGCAATCGGGAAAACTGATGTTATAAAAAAAATTGATCCTCTTCTCAAAGTGTGTTTAACAATTATAATAGTATAACCAAACTGGGATATGCTTGGGATCACCGAAAATCATGGTTATATGAAAAAAAAACTATTCATTTAAAATAACACAATCCCGAACAACTCCTAAAACCTTTTAGGGTCGTATAACTGGATATCTATTCCTGCTCACGCCACAACAAGCAAATAACGCCATGTTTGTATCGACAAATCCTTCATAGAATAAGTCTTATTACGTCAAATGTGTAATAAACATTTCTTTTTAGTTCAAGAATCGAATCACTTAGCAATCTCTCATAAAACTCCAAATCTCACTTATTATGCTTAGGGTAAACCTTTAAAATCAACGTCTAGTCGGTCGGCCACTTACGGCTAGCCGTTTCCCTGTTTATCCCTACTATTTCCTTCACTATTAATTTAGCTTTGAAGTGAAGAGGTACATTTCGTGTAAATTTCTCTGAGTAGGATACTGAGTATTTGATACTATGAGTCTCAAGAAGAAACTAAGAAAAGGAGAACTATGTTGAAAACTGTTACGAATAGAGTATATTACTTTTTCCCATAGGAAAGATCTTGATTTGTTTTGAATTTTATTACACAGTTGGTATCAACGACAACTCAACTGCAGGATTCCCAACTGCTGTTCCGTTTTTTTAAACTATTTATTTAAATTTTACCAAAAAATCTGATTATAGCTATCAAATAGGATTCGGCTGGATAGGGTATTCTCATTTCGATCCCGATCTCGCTTACTAAAATTGGTGCCCGTTCTCGTCCCGTTTAAACCGGATTTTTTCAATCTGCTAATAATAGTTTTTAAACACATGTCAAACAAGTGAATACTCTCACCCACCGTATCCAATAAACTTTTTTCGTAAAATACCTGTCCTTTGTCTAAAAAAATGACGGATGAAAAATTTTAAAAAAACTAACCCCGGATTCGGATTCCCCGAGCCTGATTACCCTTGGTCAATCATTTTCTGATGGCCATCGATAATTTTTCATTGACTTATAAAAGGTTGCAATCTGATTGGCTTGGACAAACTAGACAAACTTTAAGCATTTTATCGAGCTTATAACCCTTTCTTTCAGAAAAGGGAATTATAGAACTACTCTACGAATGAAACTTTTAAATAGTATAACTAGTGTTGTTGTTTGCGAGAGGCAGCTGTGCTATTATATCGATTATTCAGTAGAAACTTGAAATAAACAGACAAACGAAATAGGTCGTCATGATGTTTTTTGATACGTCGTCGGTTACATTTTCTTTTGAATGCTTTAGTGTTTCTAACTGTTCAATTATAGAAATTTTTTAAGCGACATAGTAACTTTCCTGAAAAACTTTTTAAAAATTGAACGACCAGGATTATACAAAAGTATCATCGACGACATAAACGCTTATCTTAAGCGGAAAAATGACGCCTGAGTCAAGAATGCTAGTTTTCAAACTGAAAAAGACACAAATCGTGGAACATTTCACAGCACTACACAGTCCTTTATAGGAGAACCATCTGGGTGGATTTGGGTGTGAGCATGTATATGAATAAAGAATCCACATTCACATCCACCCATACTCACACACACATACATCGTAGGATTGAGCGCCGATTCTCGGATGATCTGAACAATATAGGAACATATTCTCATTGATATCTCTGTATAATTCTCTTTCTCGTAGAGAAGAGCCCAGTAGACATAAATTGTCTAATTGCTTGCTTGTCTGTCCGCAGGGTCAAAAAAACATTCAAATTTAATTTTTCAGATACTTCCAGAAAACCTTGACTGGGGGGTAATCGACGGCGGGGAACTTGAATCTGAGGTTAGTTTATTAAAATTAACTAGTTAGTAATTAGTTAGTAATTAGTTAATAATTAGTTAATAATTAGTTAATAATTAGTTAGTAATTAGTTAATAATTAGTATTATTATATGTTCGAGTAAAGTTTCACTGAAGGGTAATCGAGTGTGGAGCATCCGAATCTGAGGTTATTTTTAGTTAACAATCAATTAATAATTAGTTAATAATTAATATTATTAATTTTTGAAATATTTTCGGAAAGGTTGGACCAAAGGGTAATCGAGTATGGAGAACTCGAATCTGAGATTGATTTATTAAAATTAATTAGTTAATAATCAGTTAATAATTGGTATTATTATTTTTTGATAAAAGTTCGACTGAAGGGTAATCGAGTACCAAGAATTCGAATGTGAGGTTAATTTTAGTTAAAAATCAATTAATAATTAATTAATATTATTAATCTTAAAGATAGTTTCAAGAAAGTTTTACCAGAGGGTAATTTGAGAATCGATTTTTTAGAAAAGACATTTTTGGGGCATTTCGATGCGGAGACTTCGAATGTGATGTCAGTTTCATAAAATAATTTTATGGATCACTTTTTTAGGGAGAGAACCAATTTTTATAAAAACAATTTTTTCATAAGGGGTGATTGAAGGGTGAGTGGGGTGGAAGAACACAAATCTGGTGTTAATTTTTCCAAACTGTATAAGCAAAAAGTTTAGTATTGTAGAATACGATTTCTACGAGAAAGAGCTGAGCGAGTCCGCAGACGAGCGTTACTTGTGTATTCATTGTCAATATAAATGTTCACTAAGGAAACTTTATCTAGATAAACATACCTTCGTTCATGATATGTCGTTGCCGACAAAATATAATATGTTCCATTTCTTGAGTTTCTTCTGGTAGAATAAGATGAAATTTCGATACAGATGTAAAGCATGTATCAGTTAGATTTGTATTTTCATTTAATGAAAAAAGTTGTTGAAAACAGTATTCCAATCTTCGACCTATATTTGTAACTGTTATCTCATCAAACAGATCATGTGAACAAGTTAAACGAAATGATAATCTATTATTTTCTAATACTGGATTATAGACAAACATTAACATAAAATCAAACTTAGCCACTTCAAACGATTGTTTAAATGACACTTGTTTCAAACTTGCATCATCCAAAGATAATTCATCGCTTTGTGACGATAAAGTAATGAAGTCATACACTGCTTCGAGAAATGAAATATTTGATTGATTAATATGTAAATTCGCAAGAATATGTTGAAGTGGATAATGAGAATGTTCAAGAATTGATAAACATTCCTCTCGTACATATTTAACAAGTTCATCAAATGACCAATGACGATCAATTTGAATACGATATGGTAATGTTGAAACAAACATTCCCATTATATTTTGTAGTTCAGTTTTGTGTCGATTAGCGTTAAGACAAGAAATACATAAATCATTTTCACCATAGGTTAGCTTGAAAAGAAAAGCATATAATATGCTCAGACCTAACTGAAATGGCGTTACATGATGTATAGAAGCATAATCAAGAAATGATTGTGAAATCTCGTTGTCAAAAGAGATTTGAGTGGCAGAAGCAGAACTCGATCGATTATCATTAGATGAACGATGTCGATCAATTGGTAATGATAATCGAGATTCCGAATTGTATCCTTCTAATTGTAAATACCAAAATTCACGAGATGTTGTCATATTAATTAGACGTTCATGTATACTATAATCCATATATTGTAACGATTCGTTATCATCTTCTATTGATATTGCATTAGTATTATAAGCTAAACATAGATCATTGAAAAATATTGAACGGCTTGATCGATCAAATGCTGCGTGATGAAAAGCAATGAGAAGAACATCAAAACTGGTTATGAATTTATTGTTATCATTTTCATTCAATGATGTTCCATGTCTCACAATTTCAGTATAAAAAACATGACCAGTTGATAAATCGAAGAGATGGGGATTAATAGTTGTTTGGTAAATAATGTCTCGCAGTTCATTTTCATTTTCAAATGTTTGATTCATAGTTATTGTGAATGTTTTATGTATATCTGTAATGCATTGCTTCAAACTATTATTATCATTGTTGAAAATAAGAGATGTCCGCAATATTTTATGTTTATTCAAAACATATCGAAATGCTTGCAATAAACGACTGAATGATAATAATCCTTGAACAACTTGTAAAGTGAACAATTCATTATAGATAGCAATATCACTCGAAAAACGAACTTGTTCATCGAGAAAGATACGCTCTTGAGCAAAAGAGACAATACCTGTGAATAGAATATAAAAATTATTTTAATAATTTCCTAGCAAACACTTTTACCTTCATTTATATGTAATGTATACCATTGTGTTACCTTGATATTATTCATAACAACTGTTTGAAGTAATTGTGAATGTTGACATATAGTTGGTTGTTGAAGAAATGGAGCAATCGAAAGTATATGAGAATCAAAGTTAAATACCGATTGGTAATGATGATAAAGTTGAATAAATAACAGTGAATGACCACCGACACTAAAAAAACTGGTAGTTCTAGAAATATGATTTTCATTACAAAGAAGAACTTGACACCAAATAGTGTGTATACGTTCTTCGAACTTATTAAGAGGAGTATCAGAGTTATCGGACGATAACAAAGTCGATACAGAAAGTTCTGGTGAAGGAAGAAGTTTTCGGTCTACTTTTCCATTTGGATTTAAGGGTAGTTTATCAAGTATTATAAATATGGATGGTATCATATGTGGTGGAAGATGAGATTGACAGTGTTCACGCAATTCCTGTTCATTAATATCAGAACTTTGAACATAAGCAACTAAATAATCAGCATTCCATTGTATGACAACACAAGCAGAAATGGATGTAATGTTAAGTAAACATCGTTCGATTTCACCTAGTTCAATTCTTTGTCCATGTAATTTGATTTGATGATCTTTTCTTCCTTGATAATGGAGAAGACCATTGTTATCCATTTTAACAAGATCACCTGTTCGATAAAATAGTTCGCCATCTATTTCAAGAAGAGCTTTTGCAGTCAAATCATCGCGTTCAAGATAACCAGCAAAGACACCTGCTCCTCCCACAAACAGTTCACCTTCTTGAGCGGTGGTAGATGATTGTAAGTATTCATTTAAAATCATACATCGATAATTCGAAAGTGGTTTACCAATTGGAATGCTCTGTATACTACTTGTAACGTTGATACAATGCACTGTACAATCTATGGTTGCTTCTGCTGGACCATACATATTCCATACAATACAGCTCGTTATCCCGATTTTCATTATCAAGCTAATTAGATGAATGGAAAAGGCCTCACCTACAACACAAAAAGCTGTTAGCGCAATCCCTGGTAGACCTGAAAGGTGAGACACAATCTAACAGTTGTTTCTATCTTCAAGAAGATAGTTTAGTTGTATCATTATAAAGCGCCTTTCATCTCATCGTGTGCCATAACGGTATAGGAATATCAGAAAGAGATAATTTGCATATGTTGAGCTCACCTGATTAGCATATTAACAGTTGTTATAAGATTCAAGAAAAAAATCGATTAATATGGAAGCAACTAATCACGTATCTATCTTTCCTAAACTCTATGAGTTCAACAGATTTATTTTGTTTTGCAATTTAATGTTCATGTCTGTAACGGTCACAGTCTGTGACATAATCAAAGATCATTTGTCATCTGTGGTTTGTGATACAACGTTGGTTACCTATATGAAGGGTTACGGTATCCTGTAGATCAGATCTGTGAGCAGGTTAAAAGAACATGCATCGGTCACGTCTCGCGCGGTAGAAGGGTGCGGGGAGGATTCACATTTTGCCCCTTATCACATCAATACTTCTTTAAGATCGTGTTTCATGAATATACATGTAATGAACGGAAGAAATTGCTTTGAAAATCACTCACCACCACTACAAAGTGACCGAAGATATTTCACGGCATTCATATTCTTGTTCTGTTGTATAAAAGTGAAAAATATATGTAGTAAACTTGGTACAGCTTTTAGATATGTGATTTGTTTGTTCTGTAACACTTCGGATAAATAACTGAAATC